CTTATACGTATACACCGAAATGGAGAGTGTTGGTCGTCGTTGAAGGTAAAAACGCGAATGTTATAAAAAGGACACATATGTATGCTTCTTAACAAGCCGAGACACCCCGTATAACGTGGCGAACGCTCGCGTCCGTGTTCGTCTACTCTCGTCGACGTTCTCCAAAGTGTTCTCATGTGAGAGTATGTCCCCCAATCCGCTCTCCCACACAAGAGAGAGAGAGAAAGAGAGAGAGAGAAAGATACGTCGTTTACTTAGTTCCCTACGAGCCCACCTTCGTTCCACAGCTCTATGCATCTGTATATATATATACATGCAGTCTCTCTTGTTCGTACGTACGTGGACGACACTTTTGCAAGCAAAATGTATACAATCTTATGGAGATTATAATTTCTGGAGGTTTTTTTTCCTTTTTTTTTTTTCTGTCTCGACGATATCTATGATATCGTCAATCGTTAATAATGCAAATAATAATTTGATATTATTGAATTCTATTCCTAATATTACGTAATGCTATAATTGTTGTGCGCAGAATCGTTAATTACGTTTTTTGCACGTACCAACGAGAACTTGATTGATAGTTCGTGCATTACACCTGCTCTAGCTACATGTCGCGCGTTCGAACGACTCTCTCAGAAGCATCGAACATTATGGAACATTTAAATCCAATCCACGTATGATGGCTCTATGAAAGCTTTTTGAATCGTGAGCTTTCTTATATCAATTTCGAGTAACTCGGACGGAGCTACGAGTTTACGTCTGATCTGCAACGTTCGGAGGACTCCTGGGGGACGTGGAACGTGCATTCATCGAGAGACGTGCCCAGAATTCCATTTTTCTTTCCTCTTAAAAGGATGATAGTCGAACTTTCATCGGAGCTCAGACATTCAACGGCACTCGTGGAGTTATTACAAGAGGACGTATTAATTCGATTATTACAATTATTGCAATTGTTATTCGACTTGGGTCGTTCTTAAATTTCTTATCGTAGTTTGACCTAGTTAATTTTCGAATTTTCACTTGACAAATCGATCAGTATAGCTCGATCATCGTGTAGCCATAAGAAACCATATCTTTCGATGTGTCCAACGCGCACACGCGTACGAACAAATTTGCACGTGCGTTCTTACGAGTTAGACGTGCAACAACGGCGCGGGCACGGGTCGATAATACGAAAATTTCTGACGCGCCTTTGGGAGAAAGAGAGAGGGAGCGAGCACGTGCTGCCCTTTTGCAGCACGACAAATAGGAATTATCCGAGGGACGAGAAAGCGAGCCGCGTTCGGGGGTTGCTTCGTTGCAAATATATACGACAAAGGGGATTAGTACGTTCGCATAATGACGGATAAGTGCGAGGAGGGTAGTCGGAAGAATCATCCACCGACTATAATCTCTTTCTCTTGAATCTTCTCTTGAATATTTTTCTTCGTTTTACCCGAAGGATGCTACGAAGAAAACGACCCTACGCGGAAATCTTTTGCCTCCCGGCAATTATATATATGCACATATTTCTTTGTCATCAATAAACCGTCTTGGCAAACAAGGGCATGTCATAACCGATAATGTATAATGGAAACTTGCGTAAGAAGAAAGTTAGGTGCTGAACTATATGCATTGCAAATTAGGAGTACGTTGTCCTTGGGAACTTTATGTAAAGTTTTCAGGGAAATTTGAGAATCCATCTAACGGAGAACGCAACAACCCACGACGATGATGGGGACGATGTAAGTGATGGAAGCGCTGAAACAAACTTTCTACCCCTATTTCGCTTCCTCTTTATTAGCATAATCGAAAGACGCAGGTACAAGTTTCTTATCTTGTCTCTCTCAGACTTTTTCTCCTTTCTTCCGAATTTTTCACAAAAACGTCCAATTCCGTAGTCAAAATTACATCGTTAAGTAAATGCCATAGTCCAAATTGGTAATCGTCGTCTTGATTAAAGTCCCAATTACTGAAATATTTGACACGTTGTTAAGAGGAGAAAAAAACAAAAACAAAAAAAAAAGAAAAAAAGAAAAAGCGTACCGCATTATTTCATTAATGAGATAGCTAAAATAAAGAATATTGTTGTCGCTGAATATTTCGTTATCGTAGATAGCATTGCGAAAGGGAAGAAAGCCGAGAGTTTATTTTGACGTTAGGACAAACGGAAGAAGCTAACGCATCTCGACTCCGAAGGCTCGCTTATCGTACACCGTGATCGATAATAAACGAGAAAAGAGAAGACGGTCTTCTTTCTCTCTTTCCCTCCGCAGTTCCGAGAAATCGAACGTTATGACGCACAGACGCGAACGGCGGACCTCCCGTCAAGAGGAACGGTGTCCTTTTACGAACTTTGACCTCTCTTCCATAGACGTGAAAGAAAAATAACACTTTGTAATGGTGTCCAGACGGAGCTCCAAATTCTTCGATGAGCATTTGCATGAACGTTTTCAAATTCATGCACTTTCGACGATAACGATGTTTTTCCGTTGTTTCATCCTCCTTTCCGCGTACGTAGGAAATATCTACGTAAGTAAACTCGACATAAACTACGACTATGAACAAACGTATCTCAAAAATTGTCTGGGAATTTAATTAAAGTCGCAGAATTTATTTTATTAATTGATCGCGAGTATTGATCGATTGTACGGATCTTATCGATACGAGGGGAGGTTGGCTCCTGTGTAAATCCCGTTTAATAATGAATCCGTGATATATGTAGATAGAAAAATTGTAGGAAAATGAAAGAAATTGACGTGGGTTCCCCCACGAGGACAAGAGAAAACTTTTGTCCTTTATCGAGTACCACGTTTGAATGAAACAATAACGGGTGGAGTCTTTCTCTTGAAGGCCAAGAGCGCGACCGTCTTTCGTTTTGTTTACATGCCTTCTTTTTCGCTCCAAGCTATCTCTCTCCCACACACTTTTACGGTATACATACGGTATACGATATAAGGCTACAATCAAATTTATATTTTTTAAATGGATACATACTCTCCATCGAATATTTTCCAACGATGGTCTATAGAATGAATATAGAATGAAATTTTCTCGATCGATTTATGTCGACAATAGAATCGAATAAAATGAAACGTAAGAAGATAAAAGAAGCAGAAAAATATTTGTAATCGATCTATCGCACGAGAATAAAATAAGAAGAAATCGCGATAAGGAAAGATGACAAATAAGAGGGAAAGGTAAAAGATCACCCTAGGTCGTCGCTAATTCAGCAACTATCGAAATTTACATTCCGCCGGCTTTATCAAGATCGTCCCTGAATCGTTTCCCTTAATTACTCCTTCCTTTCCCTTCTTCTTTTCGTTCTCCCGCATTCCCATTTTAACATTCCCCTCTGCAGCTCACCTTCGGGAGAACCTGTCCTTAAAAGCCGAAAATGCGACGATCTAACCAACAACTGCCTCTCGTCAACGAACAGGGACACGTTTACGGATAGCGTCTGCTACAATTCGTTCGAAAATTGCCTTGGAAAATTTTCCTCTTTTTGTCAGAACTTGGACAAATTGGACACGTTCACTTGAGACACGTTATTTTTTCATTTTTTACTCTTTATACTCGTAATAAATAAATAATTTTAGCTATGCCACGTACCACTCTTTGGTTTCTAGCTTTCATTCGATTCAAGATATTCTCTCTTTTCCAGATCGACGACGCGTGCGAAAAGACAAACGAACGACGGATAAAAGAGCTTTTCCATTTTCTCTCTCCCCCTTGGGATTCCATGCCGATGGTGTTTATTGCGTTCACGTTCTCGAAGGAATTTCGAGCGACAAAAGTAAATACGATTTAATCGATTCGATAACAAAATTTCTACTAATAACAAATATTGTGCTATACAATTAATATGTTTTATCGAATAAATTTATCATAATTTACTTTAATTTATTTAATTATTTTATAATAATTTTTAAAGAAATTTCTTATTCGAGTGGAAAAAATAAACTTTTTCGGGAGAAAAAATTTGCTGGAAAAGATTTGGAGATAATATTTATCATTTTTAAAGAAATCGCATAAACACGCGCGCGCGCACCAACACATTCAAATTCTTTGGAGGATGAAGAGAGAAGGACCGAATAACATAGCAAGAAATGAACGTAGACAGAGTGAGAAAGATAAAGAGATGGGGGTAGTAGGAGAGGGAGTAGTAGGGAGATGGAGGGAGTCCGACGACCACGTGACCACCGGGCGGGGGTGGCCAGGCGACATTTCGCATGCTCAGAACACGCCAAGCTGCGGCGTATCGCACATTGAGGGACGCAAACAGAGGGAAAAAGAGAAAAAACGAGATTAAAAGAGAGAGAGAGAGAGAGAGAGTGAGAGGAAAACAGGGAGAACAATAGGGAAAAAAGACAAAGAGAGTGAGTTCGCCGATCGCACACCTCGTGAAAAGTTGTGCTCAACGTCGTTCGGGAAATTGGTTAAAATCGCTACAAAATAATATCATACGAGAAAGAGGAAGGAGGAGGAGAGAGAGAGAGAGTAGTGCGAAATAAATTATCGAGGAAGAAAGAAGGTGACCTACGTTCGTGTGTCGCGCGTGTGTCATATTCATTTGTTTCGTTTGAAAAGGAAGAAGGAAATAAAAGAAAAGCAGAAAGAGAAAAGTGGAAGGGTCGTTTGGAAAGATTCCTTTTTCATTCGAGAACTGTGCATCGTTCTTTCTCTTTGTAATTGATTCTTTCTTCGATCGACGACCGAGAAAAACAAAGAAGAATATAACAAATTTTATACATTTAGGAACGTGCTTGGATCATCGTTCTGGACGCGAGTCCTTCGTTGGCGAGATGCTACTATGGATGTGGAAAGTGCGAGAAAAGTGAGATAACGAGAGACAAAGAGAGAAACAAAGGAGATCTCTCTCGCAAGAAAGAGAGGGAGAGAGAGAGAGAGAGAGAGAAAGAGAGAGAGAGAGAGAGAGAAAGATTTAGACAGAAGAAGAAGGTATACCGTAAAAGTACGTAACGCGCTTCTGCCAGGTAGGACACTTATTTGTTGTTTCAATTTTTTTATCGACCATGTAAACAAGATGCTTAGATTTTTTCCTTTCTTCTTTCCTTTTGTTTTTTTTATCTAATGATATACATGTTATTTTATCGGGGGAAAAAAAAAAGAAAAAAATAACAAGCCGGGTGTGGATCTTGTTTTCCCTAAAAATTTCATATTTCATCGTATTTACGAGATATAGGAAAAACTTGAAACATAGTAAAAATACACAGACTGATAATATTTTGTAAGAAAATGTAATTGGGTTTTTCGGATTACACTGCTATTTATATTGTTCATTGACAATTAGTAAGAACACCAAGTAGACACGTACACGAGCATGTATAAATGTTAACGCGTACAAGCTAACAGCTGTTGAAAACCGTCATTATCAATTGAGCATGCGTAACATATGCATCTAATTCGGCTCGTTACCAGTAATGTATTTTAATTGGCCGTACGCGCTCTCACAGCATCAAGGAACGCGAACGTTTACTAAAAGTTCTTCCGCACTAAGTAATAACCCTCTAATCCCATTTATTAGAAAGCCGCATACAGCTTTGCGCTTTGTGAAAGAATGAAAAATCGATTTTTCGCAAACGTATTTGGATAATTGTTGTTAGGATGAGTGCGAGCTAGCGAATCAATTTGAAAGGGAAACGTAGTATTTCAAGAATATTTAATCGATTAAATAATTCATTCTTTTATCAAATAAATGATATAATCGTAAACCGCTTTTTTCCATCGTCGATATTCCTAGAATATAGCAAGAAGTAAATTTTGTTCTTTTTTTAAATAAATAAATTCTCATGATATTGTGTTTTTGGAAAATCGACGAGCACGCATTGGTAGGCACGTCAAGTCGAATCCATCGAAAAGCAAGCATCTTAAAAGCGGTTGGTCTCTCGAATTTCTTCTCTCTATCCCTTACACATTCGTAAGGTCTGCCAAAGGACCCGTAGCAAAGCCCCTGGGTCCTTTCGGACAAGAACCTTTTGTCTTGCCCGGCTGCAACTATTCCATCTCTCTCTCTCTCTCTCTTTATTTTTCTTTTCCCTTCTTTCGAGCGCGTAAACGGAGAAGGAACTGAAAGGAAGGAACGTGTGTCACGACCAAAAAGGAAGCTGCGAGTCGCACGCGTTTTCGTCTTTTTTTGAGAGAAAAAGGATCTTCATAAGTAATCGACGTAGAGATTAGGTGTAGTTACATGCGTGCATAAATAGCTCCACAGAAGCAGTTTGTATGCCTGAAATAAAAATTTAAATAAGTATATATATATATATATTCTAATAACAATAGAACTGTCAAAGTGTGATAATGATATGGTCGCGTCTTTGGTTATTATAGTATGTGCGAACTAAGCAGTTTCTTCCGACGACGGATACTTTGTTGGTAATGTCTGTCTGTCATTCCGTCCACGTCTCTCTATCTCTCTCTCTCTCTCTCTCTCTCTCTCCTTACGTGTCCGTTTATGTGTATGCATACGCACACCGGTAGATAGTCCGTTTAGATAAGCGAAATTCCGTTCATCTCGTTTCTCTTGGTTATCGTTCTAGTGAAACTTGCAACGCGACTCGCAAATCTTTCGGCTGAATCAGCGACTATTATTCTTTTTTCTTTTCTTTCCCTTTTTCTTTCTTCTCCTTGCTTTTGCGTAATTCTTCTTTGTCGTTCCTTCTCGAAGAAAGATTACAAGTGATTAGAAATTACTTTAGAGAGAAAAATATTAAATATTAATATACGCACAGATCTAACTTAAGTAATGAAAATGGATAATGGTACAATGCGTATACTGATAAACGACATATAATAATGCGTATAGTTGAAAACGTATAAATAAAATGTAGTTCCGGTCGTCCTTCCTGCCCCCACCCTCTCTGTCGACCGTTTGAAGATTCTTAACTTAACGAGAGAAAGAAAAGCTGACTCCGTTCTTTCTCTTTCGTTTTATTTCTTTTCTCAAAGCAAAGTCCTCCAAAGAGGAGCTCTCGGGCTTGATAGAGTTACGAGCTGTGTTCTGAGACTCGTCGTCCGTGGCCCGTGAAAGGGGGGCCCTTACGCAAGAGTCTCAACCACGGAGCTATGGAGCTAACGACGATGGAGCTAGCGATGGAGCTAGCGATGGAGCTAGCGATGGAGCTAGCGATGGAGTTAGCGATTGAAAGTCGGCGGTGAAGGTCGGAGGTGGTCGGAAGTAGCCGGACTTGGAGGTAGACTCACGCACAAGGGCGGAGCACGTTGAGAAAAAGAGAAAGATAGTGACTTGGCAACATAAAGAATACGTAATGCAAAACGACGCGAAAAGAGATTTCATTGGCCGACTCCAAAGGTGTTCCTCGTGCACGCCTACCGATCCGGCGTTCACTCCACCTCCTCTTCTTCGACACGCAATCGGCAGGGCTTAATGAGACGTTCTTCTCTACTATAAAGCCTTCGAGAGAGAGAGAGAGAGAGAGAGAGAGAGAGAGAGAGAGAGAGAGACCCTTTAGGCATATATATATATATACACACCTATGTTCCCCCCCGATCGAGAGGACTATCGAGAACTTGATGAAAGATTGACCGCGCCACTGTATTTTGTTCCAATAGAATCCAAAGATAGTCCGACTATTGTGTGATTTGTTCGCGAGTTGTTATTGTTAACCCTTAAAAGTTTAATACATCAAAGAAATCATGTTAACGTTATCCGTGGGTGAAATTTCACCCCACGATATTATCTTACATTTTACATAGCAATAGGAAAAATGTGAATGCGATTAAAAGTTTGTATTTTATTATTTAATATCGGATGAAAGTATAGAGATTAATTATTGGACTGAAATTTCACCCATGATGGCTTTTAAGGGTTAACGAAGTAATGCATTTATTTATCAGATTTTTCCATCCGTTACATGGACCCACCCACATATTGCATAACAAAATACATAAGAAATTTGAAAGCGAAATATATATTCACGGTATTAGTATACCGATCGTAGCGCAGAGTCGCGCCGCGATTACTACTTCTAGAAAAAATTTCTCTTTTCTTTGTGCGATTATAAATACGATACTTAGAATAAAGGAAAGGCCTTTCGAAAGGAAAATTTTCAATCGGTTCGTGTGCGTTCGTGTTTTAGGTAGAGTGATATGTTAACCGAAGACAATGACCCGACGAAACCAGCGGGCGTTTTAGACAATGCTGGCAACGTGTCTTCCTCGACGGAGGCCTCGGTACAGCACCCTCGCAGCGCAAACAATGGTGGGCAATATTTCTCTAACTACATTGGCGTAGAAACCAATGAGAAAATGACACGATAACATTTCGAATATCGATATGATCATGCATAATTGTCCAATTGCTTGTCGGCTCGTTCATTATTTCATTCCATGGAATTGGTAATTTAATCGGAGAACGAAATAGTTCTCCGTGTATGGTTGAAAGTACGCTCTAATGAGAATTTCGGTTATAATAGAAAGAGTTGAGTTGAGTTGATTCATGTTATATTTGCCTGTTCGTACGAGCAGAAACCGAAGTTAAAAACGAAGTTCAAGACTGTCCGGAGAACGAAAGCGTGCCGGGTAGCGAATTGTACATCGACGATAATGCCGAGGAAAAGGAGCAAGAGTATCCAGATTCTATGGAGAAGGCTGACTACGGTACTCTCTATGGCGCCAATCAATACTACAACAGGTATGCGATTGATTATCGCCGATCGAATAGTACGCTTCTATATAGTTCCATTATTTCCTGATAATCGCGATTATCAGGACGGCTAAGACTTTTTCGATAGAACGTTTCATAATTATGGATGGATTATGATTCCTATTTCTATTTTACGTAGAAACAGACGTAGGGCATTCATTTTGCTTGTGTGGATGTTTCTACATATGTTATGTCCTAATGTACGTCATGTAATTTGAACTCTGTGGTTAAACTTGATTTTAATCAATGGCGAATGATCGTTATATTCGTATTATCGTAATTTATGTTATTCGTAAATTTATTCGAAAACCACGAGCTGAAAGTTCGCTAAAAGTTTTAAGATTAGTTTTGATTTCGATTAAATTTGAGGGATCGATAGAAGAAATGTTTTTCAGTTATCTCGTATTACTGCTGGAGATGGTCGAATATTACATTAAATAAAAGAGATATAATACAATTGAAATGTTTCGTTTACGACGTACACGTTTATCGTTCAATTTATTCGAACAATTAATTTGGACAATTTGTTCAGCATCTATCAATTCAATTTTAGCATATACAATTCGCCTACTTACGGATCGACGACGGGCACCAAGAACACGTCTAGCTTGCAAAGCTCTTATCTGACTTCGTACACAACGCCAAGCACGATGACGCAGTATTCGTCGTATGCCGGTTACAATAGCGGCACCACGACATTCCCTAACGTAGGGCAAAATATATCCTCGGCTTCCCAGGTGAAAAGCAAAAGAAAAAAAATATCTATTCCAAAAAAAAAAAAAAAAAAAAAAAAAAAAGAAAAAAAAGGAATTGAAGAAATTTCTTTTCAATCTGTTGTTTTCTTAAAAACAAACGTATTTATCTTCCTTCCCAGAAGCTGGACTACACCGCTTATGGTAGCAGTTTGTACGGAAACGACAGGGTACCCCTTCAATATTCTGGATATTATCCAATGCCCGGTTACCATACCACTCATACGTCCTTCAACATAGGAAATCTCAACTTTGCTGGTAAATTAAATCACACGCGAGCGCGTGTTACATGGCTCGAAAAAAATAAGTCCGAATGATTGTTCTTATCGTTTCATTCGTACGATCATTTTTCGAAGTCATTCTATCCTTAAAATTGATTTATTTCATCTTATTAATTGTCCTTTCGATGCAAAAACAAAAAAGATTCGACGAAGACAGCACTCACGCTGGACGCGAGCGCTCATGATGCGAGTGACCCGACCGCACGAGAGACCACAAACGTCGAAGGTAATACGAGTCATTTCGGATCGATCGTATCGCTTTATTGCTGGTATTTTCGATAAACGTCGACACCGGTTCGGAGGATCAAGCTCGAGCCTGTATTGTACGAGTCTCCAAACTTATTTTAAATACTTACAATTGCATCAATTTTGTCGAAGAATCACGAACATACGCTCTAATTCCATGTTTACTTGCAATACACACACACACACACACACACACACATCTATCTACGCGTTAAAAGCAACAACGTTTATATCGTTAACCGTTCGTGATCATCGAGTAAAACTATTGAATCCTTTAAAGAATAATTGGAAGTTCAATTAAATCGAACGATATTTTTTCCGTAGGAACTACAGCGAAGCCTTGCAGACGCGGTAGGCGACAGAGCGGAAGCGGAAACAGTATCGGTTCCGCGGACACGACGGAAGCCGGCCCCGATCGTATATTCATTTGGGATCTCGACGAAACCATAGTCGTGTTTCATTCGCTTCTCACTGGTCAATTCGCTACGAAGCACCGAAAAGATCCTACCTTGCTCGCACAGGTAGCCTACAGGATGGAGGAAATGATATTTAATTTGGCCGACACGCACTTTTTCTTCAACGACATTGAGGTCAGTCGAGAGGTCTCGAATGTCGTTCTCTTTCTCTCTCTCTCTCTCTCTCTCTCTCTTCTCGATCTCGATTGAAATACGTTTGACGTTTTCAAGTACATCCGAAGACGCGTCTTACCCGATGACGATGACGACGACGACGACGACGACGACGACGTCATCATATGTATGTATGTATTTTGTTGTTATCAGGATTGCGATCAAGTACACATAGACGACGTATCGTCCGACGACAACGGACAGGACCTGTCCTCGTACAATTTCGCAACGGACGGCTTTCAATGTGCTTCGGCGAACAACGGCATATGCCTAGCCTCCGGGGTACGCGGTGGCGTAGATTGGATGAGAAAGCTCGCCTTCCGTTATCGCAAAATAAAGGAGATCTACTGTAATTATCGGAACAACGTTGGCGGTCTGCTCGGAGCGGCGAAACGCGAACAATGGGTCCAGCTGCGTTCAGAGATCGAAGTTCTCACCGATAATTGGCTCACGTCGGCCGTCAAGTGTCTCAGTTTGATCAACAAGAGAAGCCATTGCATCAACATTCTCGTAACCACCACCCAACTTGTTCCGGCCCTCTCCAAGGTCCTTCTATTCGGTATAGGTGGAATATTTCCTATAGAGAATATTTATTCCGCTTCTAAAATAGGTCGGTACTACTCTCGAGTGTTTAATTATCGGGACAAGCAGTTAGTGAAAAAGTACACATCATTTCTTTCCTTTCTCTTTGTTTCAGGAAAAGAGAGTTGCTTCGGAAGGGTGGTGGCTCGTTTCGGTCGTAGATGTACCTACGTCGTGATAGGGGATGATTCCGATGAGGAGACAGCAGCGAGAGCGCACAATTTTCCTTTCTGGCGAATAAACAGTCACTCGGATACTCAGGCGCTTTACAATGCTTTGGAAATGGGATTCCTTTAACCTGCTTCCTTAACCTGATAAAAAGGCAAAAGGAACAAAAAAAGAACGTTTCTCTTCAAAGACGCGAGTTATCTTTTATCGTGAAAAACTTGAAGGCAAAAAATTAACGATAAGGATGAAACGAAAAAAATGGGTCCACAAGTGATATAATAAACAAATGAAAATATGACGAGCGGGTGTAAAGGGGGCGATGAAAAAGGTGAAGAGTGTGTAAGTAAAGACAGGGTGTTTTCTGAGTATCTGCGATCAATTTCTATCATATATATATATATATAGAAATAATGAATCTTAAATTATTTGATCAAAGACACGAATAAGCTGCTGAAAGCTTTGAAAAGATGTATCTACGTAAGATCAATTTCGATCCTAAAGAAATAATAAATTCATGTATTAATTTCTATGATAAAGATACGGTTCGCAAAAATGGATACGCACACACATATCCGAAAAGTATTCAAATTGAACCTTTTCGTTAAGCGTTCACTCCAATTCTCTAGGATCCTTGAATAGATCTAATTTGTTGCGCACAATCAGTAGACACCCTGTAAAGCTGACAGTCGAACGAGCTTATTTTCAGTCGATCGACCAAGATCTTTTCGAGAAAAGATTTTGTTTTCTTTCTTCTTCTTTTTCCTATTAATAACGACAAGCAATCCATCCTTTTTGTGTACTTAAAAAAACGTAGTACGGTACGTATATACCGACTTACTTCTCTTCTTTTTTTTTTTTATTTATTTATTTCCTTTTTTCTTGCTTCGTTTGTCGATACTCACTCATTCATTGTACTGTTTTAATTGTTTTTTTCCATTATTTTTGTGCTTATTTTGAAGAACGAGCAAATGATCTTAAAGTTACGTTATTCTAGTATTAAGAGAACGATACATAAACTTTTTCCTCTGTTATTACATACATTAGCGTGATATTCGACATGCGTTGCAAAGAAGTAACAAATACGTGAACTTTATTTTTGTTGTAAAAGCGATCGACGTGAAAGAGCGTGAGATTAGAAAACATTAGGAGATTAATAATTATTAAGAAAACAGAAATTAATAAATATAAATATGTGTGTATATGTACACTATAATGGAGAGAGAGAGAGAGAGAGAGAGAGAGAGAGAGAGAGAGAGAGAGAGAGAGAGAGAGAGAGAGAGAGAGAAAGTGCGAGTGATTAATTAGATAACTTTATTAAAGCATAGGATGGGACACGCATTAGCGCAAAGTTAAAGACGTTGAACGACTGTGAAAGTAATTTAATGTAAGTTTCATGAAATATAAGCTCGTTAGGGGGAAACTGTAATTCGAAATATAATCAAGTTATATTGTACAGCGGCATTTTATGTTTTATCGATCATCGAGAGAATTAACGATGTGAAAAAGAGAAGCAAGACGAGAAAGAAGAGACGAAATAGATATTTCTTCCTGTTGAGATTGTTATGTACATGTAACGTATACGAGCGAATCGCTATCTGTTTCAATTCGCCAAGTAGTTTGTTTTTCCCTTTCCTTTTTTTCAACGTTTTTCCTTTCTATTTAAAGAAAGAAGATAAAAAGAAAACAAAAGTATATTGTTGCAAGTTCGACGATCATAAAAATGTATGTATGTATGTATGTATGTAGATACTTTGAAATAAGTATGTACTTTCCTTTTTCTTCTCTCGTTACATAGACGAGCGCACAAACGGCATACAATTACATCTCTCTAATTTTTATCATTAATAGAAATAATTTAAGTGTATTTTAATAACTCGAACAAGTCCAAAGTTAAAAATCGAGTATCAACATTCCAAAATTTTATTTAATGCATGTATATCTCTTTGTCGCTGTTTGTGATGCAGCCATTATCGGCCGAATCGTCTATAAGAAAATATTTGAATGAAATCAAACGTAATTACTTCGTTATAATATTAGATTCTTATGGTTAGAAGATTTTTTGCGATTTTTTATACCAATGGCGTATTTTTATAAAACCCTTCCGCATTAGTCCTTTCTGACTTACATATGGCTGCATCACCATTCGCCATTCGATCATTGCCTGTTGCCTGCGTTGATCGAGTAAAAGATGCGACAAATCAATTTATTTGTACTTACGCCATTCTTCTAATACACAAATATCTATAGCATATATCATACTACCATGCCGATACGTAAGATAATTTGCCGAAATAAATTGCACATTTTAATTTTCAAATTACATGAACATAGATTAATCGAGTCTCCTCAAATATCTGACTATACGATTAAAGATATAAAAAAAAAAGGAATCCCACAAGAAGGCGATATCAAGTAATTGTTATTAAAAATATTCTTTTAATTTTCTTAAACCTTTTTTTCCATTCATTTCAATAAGAAAGTAGCATGCTACGTAAGAAAGTATAAACTATCAACAAGTTTGTACATCATGATAGGCTTCTTACGATAGATAGATACATATACATATATATACACATATGTATGCATATGTATATACATACAGAGAGAGAGAGAGAGAGAGAGAGAGAGAGAGGGGCATCTACAGCACATGTAGTTAACTGCATAAAGAGTATTTAGATAAATTTAATCTCAGTAAGAAAAAGAAAAAAAAAATAAATAAATCCCTGTTATATCGTAACATACGTTGGTGCGGTCAAAACGCCGCAATTGTTATCCTTTTGCGCCATAAGTATGTAACCATCGTTACCCCAATAATTTGACCATGAATTCTTTATCAGCCAATAAGCCTTTCCCTTCAATACACCATAGCCAACAGCTAGGACAGCGTGATCCAACTTGTCCACCGTATTACCTAAATCACAAAGACTTAAGACTTAACGCAAGACTTATAAAACTTTTCAAAGTTAACGACAAAGAAGACTTACCGCACGCGGGTTCGTAATAGACACCATGCGAATAAAAGGAAAATGATTTGTGAGATGCGTCGATACCAACAGAAATTGGACCATGGTTCGCTAAAGCTACCTTTAAAGCATCCACGCTTCCTGATGTGACATTAACGTATCCCGAGATCTTAGCTGCCATAGTAACATTGTTAATATGACAATATCCGTCCTAAAGTATATCGCAAAATGTTTTATTTACATTTTCGAAGGATAATTAACATTAATAATTAGACGAACAAGATTTATTACGAGGATTCTTAGAACTACTTCTAAATTAGAGTTACTTCGCCAAATAAGTTGTTTCTCACCTGGCCTAAATAACCGCCATATTCATCTTCAGATGGTATTCCACCATGCTTCATGATCCATTGATAAGAACGAAAATCCTCACCGCCATCGCATCCGTTATTACCAAAGCCCCATGAACAGTCGATGAGCGCCTTGTGCGTGTGGAAAAAGAAAAAAAAAGAAAAAAAAAATGTAAATGTTTGTTGACAACGGTCAACGATAAAGAAAAATGCTTGTCTTCATCAAATTGTTATACCTGTTGAGATAAGCGTACTAATTTCCCATATCTCATATAATATGCCCCTTCCACTGCACCGGTTGTGCCAAAACTCCAACAGGATCCGCAAACGGATTGATCTGCAATATAGGATGGATTTCTTTATACGGCAAAGCTTTTCGTCTAATTTTTACGAACGCTATCATCTATGCTTTTATACGTAATGTCACCTTTAACTGGCGTCACAGCACCATACAATCTCCAATCTATACTGTCAGGAACATTAGCTATCTCCTGTTCAATATCATAAGGAAATGGTTCACCGCCATTGTAACCTTTTGTATACTGTTTACCACGTAAAGCTTTCATTTCAAGAGTAGAACGATCGGCCAAATGATTCACATCCAGTTGATAGCCCAAATTTGCACGGTTGATCGAATGAATGAATCTGCAGAAAAATTTCACGTATCTCTCACTTAATAATAAAAGAAAAGGGGGAAGAAAGAAGAAAAGAAAGAAAAAAATAAACCTCATATTCTGTCGAAATAATTCCTTGCGATTAATATGTTCGGTTTCGTTGTTGTAATATTTTTTATGCGTTTTCTTAAACCTCCTAAATGCTACATTTACGTGCTCATCGTAATTATGGACAAATTCCTGCATAGGATTGAACGTATATATATGATTATCCCCAGGTCCGGGGAAACTAACGCATGTAGAATCTGGAATTATATATTATACATACAGAGATTTCTCTATTAAATTCAGAGATTATTAATATTATGAGAAGAAAAGAAATAGGACAAGTACTTTCCGTAACTGTGAAGACATCTGGACTGGGAACGTCGAAGGAGTACCAATCATAATCCAGATAATAATGATCATAATGGGAACCTAGCAAACTGTTGAAACCAATCATTTCGTATCTCACCGGTATGGGTTCCTTCTTTTGTGGTAGATATGGAGATTTCTATTAAAAGGAATTAAAAAAAGCATTGAAAAAGAAACGAGGGAAAAATGTAGGTCCCATTATCGTTACGTCTTCTTTAATACCTTATAACGTATCCACAGTGTATATTTATTTTGTTTGTCACCAAAGTCTTCAACGAGCCTCCATTTTTCACACGACAAGCCATTTATAATTTCCTCTCCGATACACTGAGATTATTAATTTTATATTATATTACTATATCCTATATTAAACGATTCGTATAAATTGTTAAGGTTAATGACAAAGGAATAATTGTATACCTCCATTCCGATTGTATCAGGAATAATACTTTGCGGATGAATTTTAAAATCACTAGATCCATTTACTTGAAGGCACGTTTCTTCATTCAAGACAGATTCCGTGGTAATAGGTGCAATCTTGATACTAGAACCGTACAATCCTTTGTTGGCAAGTTGTAAGGTCTTAACTACCCCTGGAGAAATGAATCGAAATAGTTTTATATAAATCTAACGGACAAGGGCGACGTAAAAGTTGATCGATTACCTCCATAATAATCGATTCGACTGGATCCAGTTTTTCCGTCGTACCATGCATAGAAAGGTTCGCGTATTTCGGCGTACGGGATATACAATGTACCTTTCGCGGTATAAGTTCTACTAAACGTCGGAGATTTTAAGTTTGCAGCATAAGAAATACCTGAAGTAGTAATACGACATAATTTGTGAGTAGAAAGATTTATAAATGTATAATGGGGGGCGTCATATGATCTGTTGGATTAAATCAATTAAACTTACTGCAAAACATTAGAATCGCAACACATCTGCGAATGCCAATCATCGTTACTTGTTGTCAGTTCTATAACAGAAATAATAGTTTTCGCGTGAGTTGGTTATTAACACCGGATTGATAATAAGAGTTACCTATGTAACTCGTTTCACTCGCGTACGCCTCTATTCATAATCTTAATACGAAAGAACTTAATGCAATGTAACGAACAAGTTAAATAACGTTCGTTCGAACGTAACGAAACGTAACATTTATATTTATTGACACAATGATAACGTTTTTCTTTTCTTTTTTGTTTTTCTACTTGAATTAGAATTATTATTAGTAGCTTACCTTGAAACAAAGAAATAAATTGTTTTTCCCAAACTTTCGTTATTCTCGAAATGCGTAATTTATTTCCTTCGGACTTGTTATCAATAATTCCTCTTCAGCTCTCTTTATATTCGATTTCTTAATTGGACTTTGAACTTTTAATATTTACAGTAGATTATTTGTATATAAAGAGGAAAAGAAAGAAAGAATAACAATTAATTCCCTCTCTCTGTCTCTCTCACTGTCGCAAACTTGTTCGATTCAATTGACATATGCGCATACATGCATTAGACATCGTTAACCATATCTATCAGTACTACCAACCTTCTTATTCGATATCGAAAATCCCCAAATGGGAATTTGGATAAAATTATAGATGAATAATTTTGGACAAAAATATTAGATATGATTATTATAACATTTATTATTTACAATAGATCATAGATTAATGCCATTTAATGTTGCCGTTGGCATGAATTTAAAGAGAAACAATGGATTGTTGGCGCGAGTATTCATATAAGGAACTTTCATTTTCTCTTCGCTACCTTTTTTATTTCTACGAGAATTAGATAAACGCAATTATCACTAGATGCATCGTTAATTTTTTTTTTCTTTTTTGTATAACGTTATCACGTTATACGTATTTTTCTGTTGCCTCGAAATTAGTAGCCAAACGTGCTTTACCAATAGTACATACTTTTTTTCGGTATATCGAAGGATTAATGCGTTATAAACGATGTCGTTGGTCTCCGATGCAAGACCACCACGCGTGGATGCAACACCAAATGTGATAAAGAATAGGATAAATTTAAATATATTGGAAAAGATAGAAAGCGATCTTGACATAGACGATATAGTTTCTATTCTATTTTTAATGGTCAACGATTATAAGAGTGTATTTTTAAAAATTTTCAAACTTTATTGCAAAGCCAAGAAATACAAAACGTCTGTGATAGCAGAAATTGTCAAGGATAATGAAGAAAATTGGGAGGAAAAATTATTAGAATCTATTTGTATTAGTGAGAATAGAAAAGTTATAAAAAAATTGGGACTACGGTATGAGGATTTGGAGAAAAGTTACTTGCCAAAATGTAGGTTATATACAAAAAAATTAAATCCTATTGCAAAATGTTTATACTTATTATGTGAATCTTTATCCGTGGAAGAAACGAAAAGGTTATTGCGTTTTGTCAAAGAGGATAAAATCTTTCTTTCTATTATCAATGAGAATAAAAAGTATGAGCCGATACTCGAGGATATAGATCAATTGGAATTACATCTATTGTATTGGATGAATATTGGATATATCTCTATTTTTTCAGGTACATCCCCTTTGGATACTATTCTGATATTTCCTCAACTTATGGATATTACTTTTTTTCTTTTCTTTTCTTTTCTTTTCTTTTAACTTACTAACTAACTGCATCTCGTACAAAACTAAAATTTATTTGCAGCCAAGGAAGGAAATTTAAAAAATTTGTTAAAACATTTGAAGGGCTTCGATGATATAGATTATTTGATAATGGAAGATTTAAAAGCGTGCAACAGGGATCAGAATATATCAAGCTTGAGTGCATCCAAAGAGACACCTCGTTCCTTGGAAAATCAAATTAACGTCATAGAAATTGAAAATAACATGCGTAAGATAAAAAAAGGATTGTGCATTATTATAAATCAAATATACTTCTATGGGTCGCAGGTAGTATGAGAAATTTTGTTGGGAAACATTGTGTATAAATAAAAATTTACCTTACGGTTATTAATTTCGTTATCGTTTAAAACTCTGCAGTATGAAACGCGCCTTGGAACAAGCGCAGACGCCGATAAATTATCGAAAACATTCCGAGGACTTGGATTTACCGTTAGCGTCATTGATAATTTGACGAAGCACAAAATGCTTTCACATATCAGGGATCTTTCCAAGCAGTTTGGATGCGATTATGACTGTATATTTTTATGCATATTAAGTCATGGCTGTGAAGGTAATCATGCATCATAATAATAAATGCCGTTACAATAATAAATATGCAACTTGACGAAATTTTTATATTTAAGGAGGTATCATTGCGGTCGACGAGAAAGAAGTATCCATTAAAAGTATTAATAATGCTTTCTGTTGTTCAGAATTTAGTAAAATAATAAAGATAGTTATTATTCAAGCGTGTCAAGGAAAGGCAATAGGTGAATCAAATAAATATATTCAATAGGATTTAACGGAAGAAGCACGGTATATTTAATAATTTTATTATTGTTTTAGGAAAAGTCCTAAATCTGAATCCTTTAACAACGGACGGCTTAGACGAACCTGCGACAATCGATATAACGGCACACGCGAATTTTTGCGTCTTTATGTCTACGCTGCAAGGTTTTGTTTCTATACGCGATAAACTGAGAGGTTATTTTTTCCAAGAAACTTCAAATATAACTCATCTTTCCATCACTTTTTTTCTTCTTTTTTTTCTCATTTCTTTTCTTCTACCTAGGTTCATGGTTCATTCAAGAATTGTGCAATATACTTCAACGAAATGAAAGAAAAATAAGCTTTTTCGAGTTGACAACGAAAGTTATCCAAACGATTCGAAATAAGCAAGGAATTATGGATGGCGATAGGATTGCCCAGTTACCTGAATTATTTATGTGTCGTTTAGATGCCGATTTTGAATTACCAAAGTACAATCCTTAAGAGAAAAATGAGGAAATACGTCTGACTAATTAATACTTTGTATATATATATATATGATATAAATATATTTATATAATATATATTTTGCGTTACAATGCGCAAGAATCAAAGAAAGAGGCTTTAATGATAGTCACCCATATGGTAATATATTATACTAGGCGATATTAAAAAGGAATATACATGGAACAAATGTGACATCACGTAGAACGCAGAAACGGTTGAATAATTCACGCCGCGCGTGGGTTTTTCGTGAAAAAACGAATTCATACGCGTTGGTTTATCCACGTGTAGTTTGATGGCGTCGAGGCGTCTTAGTTATGTGTTATTGCCGGAGGAGGCGTAACAGTCGCAAAGTGCTCGTCACACGCGTATGCGCGCAGCGCCCCCTTCGATATACTTCGCGCCGATAAATTCTCTACATACTTAATTATCACTAATTACGACAAAATGGCATATAATATAAAGAAAGAAGAAAGGAAAAAAATCCATTAAGGAGTTTAGTACCTGTATATTATGTCTTGTGGATCGATATTTTTTGACTTTGCAATTAAAATAGATTACGCGCCCACGGTCTACTTTTCTTCGGCGCACTTATGTCGCCAGACTTACCTATACGTAGCTTCCTCCGTGTATGCGAACAATTAATAAATCGTATGGATAATGAAAGAATTCACCTCTAGATTTATCTCGTACGTCTAATTCGTAAATATTCTCAAACGCGAATATTTATAAAATTTATATATCTATGAGTATTTGATAATATTTGATTTATAATTTCAATAGAGCATATCATGACTCCGGTAGTAGTAGGAAATTATGTCGGAAATGAGTTCGAAGAAATTGGAACGACTTACGAGAGAACGTTTGAAAAGGAAAACAAAAAAAAGTACAGAAAAATGGACGTTAATCCTGTGTCTAACCGTGGACATCCATCGAGGTATGTAATATTTGGTAAATGGTTGCTTTCTCTAAAAAGTGCCCGGTGTAAGGGACAAAATGTATGTATTATTCGTACGATCTGATTTCAATGTACGTAAGGTGGACGATCAACTTTTTTATCTTTCAAAAGGAAAATAAGGATATAGGGACGGGAAAGGTCAAGGAATTTGACCTTTAAGAGACGAATAATAATATACTGTACTTTTACAGAGAGAGATAAAAATTACCGTAGCAACAGTTTTACCCCAAGTCGATAATACAGATGCATTGACGATAAGAAAACATTCGGATTTGTTTCGTTAATTGTTTATTTTATTATTTATTGACGTTTACAAAGAGCTAATACGTATTGTGTTCTTCCGTGTCGAGAGCAAGAATCCTTTTTAATGATGCGAAATGAGGTAATAACGTTCGAAATTATTATCTTGTCTCTTTTCTTTTCAATCGATAATGATTTAATACGCAATACATCATTTATGACATGATTTTACATTAAAAGCGATCATTTCGAATTACTTTGTATTTCAAAGACAAAGCTTTTACGATTCGTTACGATTCTCCCGATCGTTATTTGCGAATCTATCGGTGATTATTCGAATGATAAAGAAATATATCAATTCGAAGCCAGACATTAGACTGAATCCAACGAATAAACCCAAGAGTCCACCGAACGACGCTGAAATATTATCGATTAAGACGATTAAGACTGACTCGTCGTAGATTTTTATTCATTCGATTTTATCAGTCATTGGTTCGCTGTTAAGTTAAAACTTACCGAACAAGTTACGCCAATTATAACGTACTCTTCGACGATACTGAATGGCTATCAAATCGCTGAAGAAGACGTGGATTATGCTTTGATTTTGGGACCCTTCGTGTTTCCTTGAAAAAGAAAGAAAAAAAAAAAAAAAAAAAAAAAAAACAAACACAAGCTTATTCTTAAGCGGATAACGTACGAGGGAAATAATGAAAAATTCGACCGAGTCGATCGAATTGCAATGAAAGTTGAAATCACCCAGTTTTCCTAAGGTAACGAAATCCATCGAAGGAAATGTTAGTATCGAGAATTCCTTGGGAAACGTCTACTGGATATTGAAACAAGGTGCAATCGGGAATACATCCGCAAGGTCTCTCGTATATCTCGGCCAAGTTATCCTCGAGTATAGTTTCTTCCGTGCCTTGTCCGGGCCACGACGTATCGTACCAAGCTGCCAGAGATTTTTTTCATTTACCCTTACTTTCAATATATCAGAGAGATAAATCAGAGAGTTAATTCTATTTTTCTTTTTTGCCATTACAATTATACCTACACCTGTATATCGACAAGCATTTAACGTCCTTCAAATTACAGACTCTGGCCTCTGAAACGTTCAAATAGTATTATTAAGTAATAGTAGTATTAAGAAAAAGATATTTTCTTGCAATCGAAGACAACGTCGTCGATATACTGACCGCTTGATGGAAAATAATATGGGATGCAATCGCACTTATTCCTAATGGTATTGGCACGGCATTCCGCCATGCAATTTATGTAAGAATATCTTACGGACGTTAATCTTCTGTAGTAAACGTTCTCATCCTTTAGGATCTTATCTCCTTCGTCGCTAAAAACGCAATTTCTCGTTGAAATTGCGAGATCCTTAACGTCCAACGTCGCATAAGTTTCTTCGGGCGAGATGCTAAGGAACGCTTGCTTGTTCAAATCGATCAGCTTGTCGTTCGCGTTGTGATCCGGATAATCGTACGGATAATGTACCAAGACCTTTTTGATAAATAATCACGTTTGATCGTAACGGAACGTTTTAGTTCGTTTTGTGATTTACCTTGACGCCATAAGATCCGAGAATGGTCGCAAAATAATCCTCTGGATCAGGATTTACCTTTACGGTTAGACCAGTTTGATATCCACACGCTTGTATTTTTCTCGGCTTCGAGCTTGAACAAAAAGGAATATTATAAATTAAGCGATTAAAGCGTTCTTCTTTGGATCGAGAGATTTATATCTCGAGATATCGACTCGACCATTTTCATACTTGATCGAATTCTCGACGTTGCACGGCGAAACGTAATTGAAGCTGCAACAGATACCGTCCCTGGTTAATATCCGATTAAAGAATTCGTCGCACTCAAACGAATCGTCGTTCCACTTGCACGATATTAGGAGATCGCTGCAGTTCTTTGTAACCTTGAAAATTTTATTATTTTTCTTTTTTTCTTTCTTGTTCTTAGCTCTCTCTCTCTCTCTCTCTCTCTCTCTCTCTCTCATCGTCAATTTTCACTGGAAATTTTATCGTTTTACCTTTTCCATTACCTCCCTTATCGTTAGCCCATTATCGTCAATAATATCTTGCAAACGAGTAAGGTTTTCCGTGACATCGTGCTCGAACACACCAGGATCGAGTAATTCTAAAAGTAGTCGAAATTCTTGTACGAGAAACTCCTTGGACATATTCGACGGATATGACCTAGGAAGCCGAGAAACAGGGTATACACGATGATCGGTAACGGTGGCATAAGATGCGACGAGACAAGATACATTAAATAAGTACGTAAAATATGAGCTATCCTTATTATCTACTCACAATATGTCGACCAAGCCTCTCGTCAGATTGAGAGATATTCGATTGATATTGCAAATCGTTACGGCGGGAAACGGATAATTCCATATACCTCGATGAGTCGTCTCTATCACCGTGAGCGTTGGATGGGAAGCATAGTAATTCCAAGCGATCTTCATAAGGACGATCGCACAGCACAAGGAACCGAGTAAGATGATCGCCCAAATTGTTCTAAAGGAATTTCCATCGTTCGTACAACTGACTAATACTAATTTATATGTGGTCGATGAGATGTAATAAAAGGAAAGGCTCGATCGAATACGGAATGACGATTAATAATGTTTGGTAAATTGTTAATTAAAAAGAGTGTCGTACCGTTCGATTTTCGAACGTTGAGATTGTGCGACGTACTTGTATCCATGGAGTCCTGTCGCGAGACAAAATTCTCGAGCTTGATTCTTAAAAACGTTCCAGGATATTTTCTTTGACCCGGAAGGATCCCTTGTGCCGTTTTTCCTTTGCAACCTTTTCATATTCCAGATGCAGACAATTTCCTTTCTTTTTTTTCTTTTTGTCTTCTCTTCGGTCGATTAAAAACTTTATTCCCTTTCCTCTTGTTAAAGGAAAACGCGTAGACGTTAACTGAGCGGCATTTAAAGCGGAATGTCGTGCGTCCGCGACGGCCACCTCGTACGACTGATAAAATATTCATTCAATGTTTTTCATCGATTCTGCTCGTCGACGCGATAAATCCAACCTAACCGATTACATTCGATATGCAAATGGTAAGGGCATCGATCGGGCGAAATAGTACGTGTGTAGTCGTATAAAAGTGTAGTACGCAAACCTAGAGAGAGCCTTCCTTCTGGCGACCTTGGCATTAGATACCACGGTAATTCCCTTTCTATTAAGATTCTTGCTTTTGCCGATTGAAATGAAAATTATGATTACTTTATGGGATCCCGCTGATAAGACATAGCGAAGGAGAATAGATCGGGATGAAAAGAAGGCACACGCATCTCTCTTGACTCGAAAGTATATATATATATATATATATAGTTATGGATACGTCCAAATGGAATATTTGGCCACTCGTCGTTCTGGTCCTTCGATCCTTCGAAATTAAATGCTCTCTCGATCCGACCGCGATGCCAGGAAGACAGCCCAGATATTGAAAGTCGAAACGTCGCGATACTCTGCAGCCGTTTCGTAGATTCCCTTTCTCTCTGTCTATCGTTCACTCGAGTACTGTCTCTCGGCCGAGTGACTCGGTTGTTCGGATATTAAACTTTGAAGATGCCGCTTCTCGCCGCTCTACCGTGTCTGACTCAGCGAGTGTCATTAATAACTTTGAGGAGATAGATAAAGTGTTAAACACCGTGAACCGTGTGCTCGAGCACACGTCATTACCCTGACTATTAAAGGGCTCCGATGCTAATGCAGCTCGCGAATCCATAGCTAGAGAATACCGTCACGTATCGCACCTTAAAACGATCGTTTTCTCTTCCGGATGGAGGATAAACGTAACTCGGATTGC